TTGTTTAATAAAACTGATTTTTCTAAATTTTTTGACCAAATTTTGAAACCAGGCATCTAGACGAGTATAATTGGTCGCTTTTCAGACGAACTCAGCAACTTCTCGCACCTTAAAATGGCTGGAAAAGAAGGTAAGTCATTTTAGGTGTCCTCTAGAAAATTCAATTTTTTTCAGTCAAAATGGTGTTTTCTGACATTTTTGATGCCAGATTCGTGATCAGCATAAAATTTTGCGTCGTCTGATGTATCTTTTATCCCATTTTGAGAGAAAAAATTTTCCGATGTCCCCTCCTTAGGCTCAAAATTTTCGAAAAAACTTTTTTGCCGAATTTCCAAAAACTGAAGCGACAGTTTTGTTCAGAATTTTTTGCTGATTCCGAAAATATATATTTTATCTTATTTTATTGGGGGCCGCAAAGTGGCCTTATCCGCCTCCCTCCTTTCACTTTCTATAAATCAGAGCGAAAAAATCAAAATTGTGCCCGTAATTGTCAATTTTCACCACCAGAACTCAATTTTTATGCAATATGAGTATCGTATTCGGAGTCAGCGTCCAAAACCAAGTCGATTTATGTACCCCTTAACCCATCCGACCACTTTTGTTTTTTTCGAAGTATCACGTCGAAACATTACTGCGATCTTCACCAAAAAATGAAAATCAACAAAACCTTCCAAAACAGATACCATTCGACTTGATCTTGGACGCTGACTCCGAATATGATACTCATATTGCATAAAAATTGAGTTCTGGTGGTGAAAATTGACAATTACGGGCACAATTTTGATTTTTTCGCTCTGATTTAGAGAAAGTGAAATTTGTCAGCAATGGAGAGAAATTTCAAAAATCCGAAGTTATACTTTAGTTGTATGAATCAAGGTGGTTCGAATGCTGTGTGAAACAAGGCTTGATCTCTTAAGGCAAGAGGCCAGGTGCTTTTCGGAGCGAAGGGTCACATTTTTGAGTTTCCCTGGAAATGAAGCCGATTTTTTCCACCGGCTTGGCAATATGCGAAAACTTCAAAACCACATTTTCATATGCAGTTTGCAATGCTGAGTGAGAAAAAAATGTTTCAAAGCTCCGATATGCAATGAGAAAAAACTATTTTATGACGTTTTTGTCGAAGGACGCGTTTTCTCGTTTTTAGCATCCTTTCCGTAGTTTTCGTGTTCCACCACGAACGAAAGGTCTAGAAAAACTTTTAAGATGATTTTCGTATTCATCTTGCTCGTCCGTCTCTGTCCAACCATGTGTTAATAATTGAGAAAATAAAGTAGTGTCATAACTATGAATTAGCGTTGCCTTAGTACTGTTTGTTAGTAGCATAATTTTATACGTTTGAAGGATAGTTAACACTCAGGAAGATTTTATGAATCATTTTTAGACTCATAAACAGTTTTGTTAGCTTTATGATTTATTTTTTTGTTGTGGGACACCCGTTACTTTTCTAATAATGGGCGCGTTGCACGAGAAAGCTAGGCTAGCCAAGCAGAAAGAGCATAGTTTCAAATTCTTAAGGCTCTACTTTCGTAAAAATCTGTTCAACCGTATAGATTTCAATTTTCTTAGTTTCAATTAGTTTCATAACTATGAATTAGCGGCGCCTTACACCTACCATGAATACTTGTGTGAGATCGGTGATGGCTGAAATAAAAATAAACTATTTGTAATATAGCAAGAAAAGGTTTCACAGTGTGTAAATCTTTTACCATGATCCCTATGTGATAAACTGTGAACGAACGTTATATGTTGTTCAATATTTTCTCGTGGTAAACAAGATTTATCTATAAAAACGGTTAAAATCAGATAGAAAATAAATCAATATTAAAGATAATACCATTTGATATGGTAACTGAATTCTTGATTCCCGACGATTCTTCAGCATCAACTACTATTATACCATTGGCATCAATAACTATTGAAATGATTATTTTCACTGTTTGAGCATCAACGTTTTGTGTTAAATTTTCTAATATAAATTCATCTAAATATGTCTAAAGTAAAAGAAATATAGATATTTAAGTATTTATCAATGATTCCCGTCTACCCAGCGACCAAGCTAGTGAATGTCATAAAAGAAGTTAAAAACGAAAATTTTTTAGAATACTACCTAGAATTACTGTCGACCTCCTAAGTCTCTCATTCCTCTGTTCCGCCTGATCGTGCATCGCTTTTCTAACCAGTATCAGAAATGCATAACTGACAATTTACAAACAAGAAAATTCAGTTGAAAACGATAGTTTTCTGAAAGTTTGCATTAGGTGTGTATAATGAGCTCTTAAGTTAAAAAAACGTTTTCTAACATACAAAACGGTGCGAGAAATTTAAAAACTTACATTATATTTTGTTAAACGATGTTCACCTGCATAAATTTTAATAGTTACTGTTGTTTGGTATCCATAAGCATTTGTAAACATTTTGCATTGACATCTTGTAGGTATTGTTGTATTTCTTTGAATCAGAGCTACCATTTCACCATTAATTATTTCAATACCAATTGATAATGGTGTAACATCTATTAATAATAAATCGCGTATCTCGGTATGATAAGCATCCTAAAAGAAATTTTCAATTTATTATTGAAAATGAATTCTGTTGGAGAAATATCACTTGTTTTTCTGCTGATCGCGGGCTGAATTTGCTTTTTTTTTTCTTTTTAGTGTAGGATTGAATTTTTTCATTTAATTCATCATCAGATTGGGCTGATGTGACGGAAGTTGATCGAGGTTATCTGTCAAGGATATCCAGAAAAAAACAGGTCTTTTTGGACTCCTTTCCTCTGTGTTGATTTGTCTACTTTTGTGGCTGCCTCTACACCGTGCGCATCGAGAGGGACATTACGTGAAAAAACGAGAATCACCTTTTCTTTCAAATAGTGATAAATATACTTCGAAACATGCTCTATCTAATAGCATAAAACGTTTTGTTATAAAAGTTATGTAGGGTGGAAAAACAGCTGATCAAAAATTAGTCTGAAAACACGAACATCGGTAAGAAAATGAATTCTTACAAAACCAAGCAAACTGATAGGCAAATCCAATATATATTCCAAATCTGCACATCTCATTCTATCTATTACTACGTTTCTCTGAATTTTGGCTAATAACTTTAAGAAAAATAATAAAACTTTTTCTATAGTGGGTTTGCCGAACGGGTATGTTGAGTAAAGTGAGTGCACGAAAGTTAGCAACTGTTCAAACCCAGAACATCCTTTTATCCAGCTTCTATCATCACAGTTAGCATAAATGTTCCTGGTCCTTATGAAAGGCTTTCCAAAAGACCTTTATTTTCAAGAATTTAAATATGCGCACTAAACTGCATCGAATAGGGTATAAAATGTTGAATTTTCGTGGAAGAGACGTTTCGGTCAAAGCTTAGAGGAAAAGGTGTTTTTGATCGGAAAAAGATTTTTTCTAATTTGTTTGTTTTTGATTTATATGAGTTCCTGGGTGTTGGTATTTTTATGCGAAAAAAGAGAACCGGCGACGGTAAAAATTACATGTCCGCCTGCTCTGCAGAAGCTGCACACTGTACTTCTCGCATGAACTTTGAGCTGCAAAACATCTATCTTTACGTTTTCAATGCATATTTTCAAAACTGTTCAATTCAGTACATCATCTTTTGTCTTTATTACTAAGACTTGTTTCAACGGAAATGTATTCTTTATCTTTTACGACGACGATGGCTAAGAACATTGTCGAATACAACAAAAAAGTTATAAAAAGTACTAAGAGAAGTCAACGGGTTTCAAAATTAAAAAAAACTCTTTCGGACGTTCGAATTTGCTAGACCCATTTTTCCTAATCCTGTTGGACGGCGCATGCTATTCTTTCACTTCTAAAACCGAACGTCCTAGATGGTTAATCTCTTGTCTGAAGATAATCTGATTTAGGTTCATTAGTGCTTCGCTTGTAAAATGTTCGTGCTTCAACCATAAGAGCATTTGAACAAGCTACTAAATCATCAAGTTTCCCATCACGTTCTAATACTTGAAGAAGGTTATTTTTAAGTATATCTACTACATTATGAGCGTCATCCCGTAAAGAATGTATTGAATGAAGAGGATAAGATATTGGTAGCTTTGATACTGATTCCTCCGCTATGCTAAGTGAATGAGCGCTTTTCTCTGAATGCCTGAATGTATCGTCTGTTTTTGATATTGATTCTGCGTTTTTTCTCGTTTCACGTTTTTTACCATATTCTGCA